CCCCCCCCCCCCCCCAGCTGAAGAAAGGAGTTGTTTATAAACAAAATGGTTGTTTATAAACATTGGTTTCTTCAGTATATTTGCTCGAACTAGTTTGTCAGCAACTGCTTCTTACCTCCAATCTTGTGCCATGGAAGCTGCCATGATGGAAGGTAACAACGCATATATGAAGTACATGCAAACACACAAGCACACAAAAGTTTCGGATGGCACAGTGTCCATTGATCAACTACCTCTGATCAAAGTGGAGCCCAAATCCAAAAAGTCCTTCAAGGAGTTCTTTCAGGTCATCCGCAATGTGTCTGATGTGGATGTGGCTGCTATTCGTTCAGTGATGAGTGAGGCATCACCAAAATATGCTCATCTACCTGCATCTGTCCGTCCACGTGATGCTCTTGGTGACTCTTGTGTACTTCAATTAGTTTTGGAAAAATCTGCTCATGCTTCCTGGACAGTCCTCAAGTTCTACCACTCTACGGTGTCAATTCCAATGGGCTTGGCCAAAACTCTTTGCAACAATAACGTCCTCACCATCGACTACAAGATTTGCTCTAATTCTGATGTCGTCAAGAAGGGCTTCATGAAGATGTTGAGCAAGATTCCAGGAGACCAGTGGCTAACACAAGAAGTAGTGGACAAGCCACAGATTCAACGGCATACTTCCAAGGATGGAGACAACAAGACTTGGAATCCAGATGAAGAAGAGCTTCGCTGTGGAATAGCCTACATCAATGAACATGCTCCTCTGGCCAACGCTCACAATGAGCAATATCTTTGGGTATTGCTGAACATTCGTGATGAGGCATCGCCGCTCTACGGTTGGCCATCTGCAGTAGTCCAGAAAGCATGCGCAAACCGGTCATCTGGCAACTGCCAGTCTGAACCGGAATGGTTCTTTCCTTTGCTGCTCTTTGACCTGAACCCCAAGTTTCTGAAATCTGTGGTGCCCCTGGTGCTTCCTTATCTTCCCAACTTTGGCTTGATGGTCCTTGGGCGAGCCGGCATTGGCAAAACTCCAACTGCACAAATTATGACCTTGGCAGTAGCTCGTCATCTTATTTCTGTTCGTGGTCTTTCTGGCATGGCTGGCTGGCGGCGATCAAAGCAAATTGACGGGTTTCGCGAGCGGCCGGGTGAGGTCAATGTGCCTGTCTTGCTGGATGACCCAAACCTCAGTGCTATCAACTTTGAAGACATCAAGTCTTTCTTAGACGTTGGTGAGACTTGCTTAGTAGATGCCCGCTACAAGCCTGCCAAATTTGTACGCAACCAATGCCGGGTGATCCTGAACAACGAATGGGATGAAACCAAAGAGCCAGATCTTTCTTTGGGTGATACCATCACCTGGGAGCAGTTCCAGGGCATGTTTGCTGTCGCCATCCAGTATGCCAAGCATCCTCACATGATGGCTCGAACGATATTGAGTCCGAGTTTTCCCGTCTCAAGACCATGGTGAGAGAGCGCTATGGTAGGTTATGCTTCCAGTCCACAGCTTCAAATGAAGCAGAAGACGAAGTAGATGTAGGGGATCTGTACGAGTACACGTTCAGAGTCAACATTGGCAACTCATTTCAATCAATGCTGAATGCATTTGCTTTGTCATCACCTTAGCGTTCATCTGTGTACTCTGTCTGACCAACGGTATGGGTATAGATTGCAATGCAATCTGCTGCAGTAGCTTTACGCAAAAAATGTAATGTCTTTAGCGTCTGCATCTGCAAGGTATGTTCTTGTAGTGGTTTCTGTATGTGTTTGCTTGCATGATTACTTCAATGTCATTTGACAACAAGCATATAGCTTTTTGCAGGTGGTATCTGTATTTGATTACTCTTGTTTACTTTGGCAGTTTGCATGTTTATAAACACTGACTACTGTTTATAAACACACCACTTCTTCATTGATGAAGTTACCTTGATAGTGACTGGCTCCAGCTCAAGTCTGTATCAGTGTCATCATGGCGCCCAAGAAGGTGATGTTTGTGGCTATGGGTTCTGAAGTAGAACCTGGGCGGTTTTCGTTGGATCTGCAGACGGTGGACCCTGTCATCTACCGCCCAGACCCAACTACTGATGCTGAGCCGTCAGTGCCTGTGCCCAACGCACATGAACTCCACCAGGACATCGTCAGTGGCCGCAAAGCAGCGTGTGAGTCAAAACAACAACGAACACCGAGACAGATTCAAGCGCATATTCACTATGTCCAAAGAAGCTTGAATTTAGCTCCTGGCATTTCTGGCCAGTGGTCTCGTCAAGCGCAAGATGTTCTCGACACGTGGCTCTTGAAAGATTTGAAGGGCGTGCAGAAAAGGAATATGTTGGCATTGGAGGACAAACCACCTGCTGAAAGTTCCTGCTCAAAAGCCGTTGGCAACATTGTTGAGAGCTCAGAAGCCCTGGACTCACAGCCAAAGGATGAGGATGCCAACATCTTTGAGGACCATCACTCAGAAGCCCTGGACTCACAGCCAAATGATGACAATATGATGGACGAGGATTGCGTCAAGGAGACAACCCCCAAGGATGGCAAGGCCAAGGTCTCATCTTCATCTTCTTCGTCTTCTACCTCCTCTTCCTCGTCCTCTGACCGTACTAAGCGCCGCAAGGTAGAACTGCAGGCTGCATTGACACATCTGAAGAACTTACAAGAAGTGCACCACCTTGAAGACATGGGCGGTTGTCTGCAAATGATTAAATCCGCCATGCAGAATGTCAATGCAGCTTTGCGCTTGTAGATAGCATGAACCTCCTCTGGCATGAACCTGGGCGTATGGCGTATGAAAGATTTCATGCAGTCTATGTGCAATGTTTTTGTGGAAGTATATGCATATATATATATATGGGCGCGTTTCATGGTATTATATCTTATCCATTACTTCTCAGGGGGCCCCGAAAAGCACGCGCGCCCTTATATATATATAGTACATGTAGGACCAGGACCAGGAATTCAATTTTTGGTGGGTTTTGTAAAATGGTCGATTTGTCAGGATGAAGTAGCTTCTTTTTGCATGGTGTTCCTCCAAATCAACCTGCCCCGTTTCAACGTGGTCCCCGTGTGACGCATGATCGTGTGAAGTGGAACAATTGAACAACGAGTTGCCTTCACAAGGCATCTACGTTTGTCTTCAAACGCAGCAGGCAGGTCACTGTCACGTGGAAAATGATCCAAATGGCTGTAACATAAGGTGCGTGTCTGAATCATTTCCCAGAAGACCGAACCCAGCTTCCAAGTGCGAAGATTCGTGATGGAAGACGATTTCTGTGTGGCTTCCACAGCCACCGCTGTTTTCACTCCTTTCCCACCAAAGTCTGAAAAGCCAGGCTGAACATTGGCAGCCGCTGCGCACCGGTGCCGCGCACGTTTGCGCGCGCGCCGGTTCTGTGGGCTGCGCAGGTTTCAAATGGAACTGAAGAGAAGGCCGTCGGGCTCGAGTGGCCTGAAAGATGGTCCAAAGGACTTCGAACATCATATGTAACGTAAGTTGATGTCACTGTTTTCCAAGAGAATCGCGACCATGTGACGTCTACCGGGCCTGTTTGACTCAACGGTACCGTCCTCACAGTCGATGCCGGCTTTTGCCAGTGCGGCGGCCAGTCCGGCCATCGGGCCCGTTCGTGCACGTGAAGTGGGCGAAAGATGAACTGACCCTGAGAGGCCACGGACCCACGAAGCTGTTCTTAGAACACATTTCGGACCCTTCGAGGTGTTGAGTCTGATGTTCGTGAATGAATCAAATGGAGTTTTGGTCTTTTTGTGGCCAGCCTGGAGCACCTGCAAGGAAATGGAACTGCTGGATTGTTTGGTTCTACACTTTCTCTTGAACTTGGTTGTTGATAGAGTGTTCGCTAGTAGGTCGGAGGCCATCGCTATCAGGTTGTTGATGGAGTGTTCTTTGTTTCAATGTCTTTCATGATGAACTTCCATGTGTTCTTCGGGGCCGTCGGTGGACTTGGGATGGTTTGGGACCAGCGACGGGAGGAGAAACCACAGCTTGCGGGTGAGGGTCTGTGGCTCAAGTTAGGTCAGTTCTATGGACTGGGAATGGCTTTGAAGATGCTTTGGGCATCCCTCCCATCGATTTAAGGCTTCTGAGGAGGACGACCTTTCGCTGGTCAGTATGCACATCGCAAGAGGATCTTTTGCCCAGAGCTAGATTGGCTATGAGGCCAATTCGCTAATTTGGCTTGGGCCTTTTTCAAGCAAGCCCCTTTACAAATACTTGAGTT